CCGGGCCCCGGTCCGGCGGTGCCGGGCGCGTCTGCTCCCCTCCCGTTCTCCGGCTGGGCTGGAAGTGCTGGGAGTAACAGGAGGACGCGCTGGGTAGCGCCAGGAGCTGCGATGTGTGACCATCCCTGCTTCCCAAAAATTGCAGCAGCCCCGGGGGTTCGGTTTGGGGTTTTGTGATTTTCCCTCCTTGGTGCCGCCTGACAGTTCTGTACAACACAGCGGCTGCCTGCATGAACTTCTGCATTAGTGTTGGACCTGCATGCTGAGGCCTTCTCAGTGTCGCTGCCCTGGCGCTTTTTTTTGTGCATTCTAATGCTTTGTGCGTTTGAGATTTTGGTATTTGTACGTGTACTGTAATATTCATATTTGGGGTTCGAGAGGATTACACTGAAGGGCATTAAACATCCTTTTTCGTGTTGGAGTATCTTTCTGTTTGGTTGGACTTCACATGAGCATACACCTCTGAAGTGACACATCCTGTGTGAGCACCAGGGCGTTTTGTAAGACCTTTAAAACAAGCCAGCTCATTTTCTCTTTGCAGGACGGCATCATTGCTTTTGAAGTAGGTGAAATAACTTTTCCCTGCTTTGAAGCAGACCTGCTCAAAGTGTCTTTGGTGGTCTGCTCTGTTGTACTGCAGATTCCTTCAAGAAGTTGCAGTGTGAAAAAAAATACAGATGATGATGTGTGAAACTGGACCAAAAAAATTACTGGGTCTTAAAATAAATTTATTAAAATAAGTTAATCTTACTTGCTAATAATACCTAACAAATAAATTACTTCTACAGTTTATTTTATAGTGGTAGTCTTTGAGAATCTCAGAGAGGTGGGACATTCAGACATCATCTGCTCACAGTCAAAGCAAATTGCAAATTAGGGACACATTGTAGGTTGAGTTAGAGCAATGATTATTGTTGGTGAGACCAGTGTATGTTCCCTCATCTTACAAATTCCTTGAAATGTGTTGACAGAAATTGTCAGTATGGTTAGAACTTTAAAATATACATGCATGGAATGTTAACCCTAGTAAACTTGGGCTTTGGAGTTTTTTCTTGGAGGGAGAAGATCAAGTCTTGTATGTACAGTGCTACTTACTAGTGGAGCAAAAGCTCAGTTATCCATCACATTTCCTGATTTTCTACAACTGTAACTTCATGTCACAACTGAGTCCTTTGTCAGTGGGTATTTGGATTGCCAGTGTATAAAGTGATCATGTAGAAATAATTCTGACACTTGAAAGCAAGACAGGCCAGAGAAGGTGATGAATGGAGTATAGAGAACAGAAAATTTCAGTTCCTCTGGAGTTGTTTGATAGAGCTTAAAGATTAACTAGCAAAAAAGATAAAAGAATGTATCAGTGTGTGCACAGGATGTCAGGCCGATTTCAATATCAAAAAACTTTAGTGATGCGAAGGTGAGATGGGCCTTTGTTAAGAGAGAAGTGACATTTTCTTCACTAATAAGAGATAGCATAAAAAGGAAGTAAGGTTTGGTTGCAGGAGGTACACTGCAGTTAGGTAAAATGGTATGTATTTCCATACTTAAAATGTTCAGAGTTCAGTGTCATTCTTCCTGCCGTGGGGAGCAGAGATGCTTTGGTGGTACGAAGTTATGTTGATGCGAGAGCGGGCAGGCATCTGGTGGCCCGTTCTTTGTCCGTGGGAAATCCCCTCTCCCTGCCCGCTCTGCCCTCCCCACTTGCCGCCCGTCCTCGGTTCCCTCAGTTCGGAAGCAGCAGGATGAAGGAAGATATGTTTGCCATGTCAGGCTGAAGGCGGAGAGAGCTGGCAGCAAGTCCGGAATTGCTCCATACAAGGAGATGGGCTAGGAGCATGAGGTCATCACTTCACAGGGAGGAGTTTTTTTTGCAGTGTGTGGAAAGTAGGTCTAGGGAAAGAGACTTTTTTGCTGGCGGGGAGGAGAAGCAAAACAGTAAGAGAAGAAAGCCTAAATGCATTCCAGTAGGAAGTAAACTGCATATATGCTCCTATTCTGAGATAAAACTGTCCGCTCAGTCCTGGCTTAATTATATTGTTGCTGTATCCGCCTTGTGAAAATGGATTTAAAAAACCTAGTGGAGGGCTTTATTCTACGGCAGAGATAGTCTTGAAATGGTTGAGTATTCACTATTTTATTAGGGAGTTAAAGGATTTAAAATTTGGAGCATGAAAATATGCAGAAAGTTTCTGCTGTTTAACCTTTGTGTCAGGTAAATGTAGCATTTCTTTACAAAGGTTTATGTTTGAAACTTTTTTGCAGTAGTGAATCAGTGAAATTCATAGCTTTGTTTCTTTGTTTCCAGAGTTTGAGAGAAGATAGTCCCCTCTCATTTTAAGAGCTATGTGTATGGGCTCATAGATGTACATAGGAAGTTTTTGTAAGGATTCTTAAAAACCAGTGAGAGTCCTTCTAAAATGGCTTTTATTTTTGTGTTTGGGATTATAATTTTTTTTCTTGTGGGACAGCTTCACTGGATGGAAGGCTTTGATTGCTGTCAGCTTGTAGCATGAAATCATATTTGTGACCATTACTATAATTCTTTTCTATTTTGCAAGTTTAAGTGCAGAGTTCAGTTTGGTGTAAGGAGTCTGAAATAATAGGGAATTTTAAATTCCTGTGTGTTTCCCTGATGATAATAAAAATAAATTCCCATTAATGTAGGGCTTAATGCTGTTTTTAATCTGAATGAGTGAACTGTACCTCATGGCATCATTCTACTTTGGATTTCAGATTGCTGTTTGCTCTATAGTAACCAGCTTCCCTTGCATTGCTGCTTTCTACACTTGAGAGAAAATGCCTGGTGCTTTAACCACGTGTAATTTCAAACTATCTTCTTAATCTCTGGGTTTCTTACTAATCTGCTTACAATACCAAGATGTGTGCCATAGCAGTTGGTAGAGACAACCCTCTGTATTTATAACTTTACTGCAGTTCAGTGTCTGATTTCTGTCCCCATGTACAAGTTTGACAGAATTACTGATCTTTGGAGCATGTTAGTTGGCTCTTTAGAAACTTGTTGATGTTGTGGGCTTGCACCTTGAGCAAAAAGGGTATTTTGTTAGGATTTCTGATATGGCTGCTCTTTTTTTCTGCCGAGGAAACAGTGCTTGGACAGTAATTCCAAGTATGTGGAGTTACAGCACTAACTGCATCCTATGAGAGCTTTCTGCCATATAGCTCTCTATTAGGACAAACACATGCTGTCAGCTGTTGAGGGGGAAATAGGGCAATCATGTGTATACTGTTAATATGTTCTTAGCTATGCTGTATGATACTGTAGTCCAGTTGCAACCCTCTCTTAGTATGAGCTAGTAAGAAAATATTTAATGAATAAGTATTAATGGTTCTCACATATTTGGCATTTTTCTATATGGCATTCAAATCTTGGTCTGAAGACGGGTAGCTGTCTTGCAATTGTCATTAAATGATTTTAATAGTGTCACAACTTTTCATCCTGTGATTCTGTAAGTGATTTATTTCAACATGAGGAGCTGAGACATTAAGAAATTGTGCTTAAACATAAAGCTAAATTATCATAATTAAGACTGAATGAAAAGTCAGTTATTGTGTAAGTCATGGCAACCTGTGAAAAGTTTGTGAATTGTTGTGTATTACATAAGCACTCTTTACCAGAGGCAGAAGTTAAATCCAGAGCAGTGTTAAAGTGCATTAATTACAAGCCATTTGTTCCTTGAAATTGCCTGCTTAGTAAATGGGAGACACACAATTATAGCAATGAGCCTGGTAAGAGTCGTGAGGATGAGCCCCTCTGACAGAGTGCTGAATCATACTCAGAGCACTCCATCCTCTCTAATAAATGGGTTGGGCATTCCTAGGGAAAAGTGCTATGAAAGTAATTACACAATCACATAGTGCATATTCCAAAGAGGGTGGAATTTAGGTTTGCATCTTCATTTTGTGAGTCTCTTAATTTTGTACTTGGTTTGTCAGCTTTGCTGCTTTTTTTTCTGTTTATACCTAACTTTTTGCTTTAGAAAATTTGGAAAACCTTACTCCAATACATTGAAAGCATATTGTAGCTTACATTATCTGTCATCACATTTGTAATGTTTGCTGTTTCAATTGAGAGTGGCAGTTATAAGTTGTTTTCTCTCTTGCAATAGAGAGCTGGAAAGGACATAGATTTAATGGTTATTTAATAAGACAGGAATTATTTTATTGAATATTTGGTGCTTTAATACTCGGACAAAGAACCTATCAATAACGTCTGAGCTGGTAGGGATTGTTAGCTGCTACACTTGTAAATCACAAAATTCACCTTTGGTAAACCTATAAACAAGTAGGAGTAACATCATAGGATCAAAAATCCTGATTTTTGAATACAGATTTTTGAATAAAGCTT